ATATATATATATATATATATATATATATATATATATATATATTCCTGTCTTCATTGATTCTCTCCTCCCTGTAATAGTTGTTGTTGTTGTTGCCGTGTGCCTTCAAGTCATTTCTGACCTATGACAACTCTAAGGCAACCCTATCACAGTGTTTTCTTAGCAAGATTTTTTCAGAGGTGGTTTGTCTTTACCTTTCTCTGAGGCTTGTTCAAGGTCACCCAATAGGTTTCCATGACTGTGTAGGGATTGAAACCATGATCTTCTAGAGTTGTAGTCCAACACTCAAACCAGTATGCCACACTGGCTCTTAACTTAAGTTCTATTGAATTTAGGGGGACTTCTGAGTGGATAGTACTTCTCTTCATTTCCCCCAAGACATTGCAGCAGCTCTTTTGCACTCTTTCTTCAAAGGTGGCAATCTTAAGTATGATCCATTTAAAATGATCAGTCAACAAGTCACAAATAATATCAGGCAATGACCAATCCACTCTCACTTTCAAGAGATCTCCCAGGGAATATGTCCTGGGATTGCCATATAAAGGGCAATGTCATAAACAGTGAACTAGGTCTTCCACCTCCCCAGAACCACAAATACATAATAGTTGTGTATAAGGAATGTTTTTATATCTTCCCTCCAGATGAGCAGATGGCATTGTTTGAAAATTCAGGGCAGTAAAAATTTTACTGAAAGCAACAAAGGTTAGACCTTGAAAATACTGTTGAAAGTATTGTTCTCTCTTTAGAAGATAGCTGTAATGGACAGTAGCCATGATTGGTCATGAAGACAGTAGTAACTTATAGTTGTCTGGAAGTTCCAGATCCTGAGCAACCAATTCTTGATCCTGGTGCTTAAAAGACAGATGTTGGAAATCCCATGAGGGGTATGTTCTCATTCACAGAGGGACTCACATGACCTCAATCTCATCAGGACAATAATGGCAAAGAATCTTCATTGGAAATGAGTAGTATAATTGAATTATATTGTGAAATTCTTCATTTTTTTCCCAGTGAGGTTTCCAAAGATGTTTATTTATAAATGTTTCCCTTTACAACTGGTCCATAGGGTTCCTTGTCTCCCAGCTTTCATTACCATGTGAAGATTTCAGATCCTCCGTTGCAGTCAGCCAACTCATCAATACTTCCCAAAAGGCTATTTATGAGGCATCTGAGAGTGATTCTCATGGTTAGGAATGCATTACAAAATAAGATTAAGTAGGAGAATAGTGAGTCTCAATAGGGCATCTATTAACTGAGAAAGTTTAGAAATATATTTTCTTGCACAAGGTGACCTTCAATTCCTCATTGTTGAATATAGGGCATAAATTACAGGTTAGGTCTTTCTGTAACTGCCCCTGTAGTTTTAATACATTGCTTTTTAAAAGCCTTGGGATGGGGGGGTGTTAATGGCAGGGAATTGCTTTATTCAAAAGAAGAGAAGTAATGGGGGGTTTACATATTTATTTATTTATTTATTTTACTAAACCTACTATTTAAAAAAAATTGAGGCCAAAATTAAGGTTTGTGGCAAGATTTTTGTGACAACAGTTTTCACTTTGCCATTCAGATGTATTTGTTTTTTTAATTCTCCCTTATTAATTGATAAAGCAAGCTACATAAAGGTTCTGCTCTGCCTTTAAAATTGCTTTTAGATATCTTGATGCTAGACTAAAAGAATAGACAATTCAAAAGCAACCAATGAAATATAAATGGCAATATTTTGTTACATAAAAAAGATAAATTTTCTCCCCCACCCCATACAAAGGAATTCAAGCAAAAAGGAAAAAATCAATGGCTCTTCTTCAGTCAACATTTTCTCTTTAAAGTATGTGGGTTTCAGGTGTGTGTGATTATATCTAGAATAACATTTGATCAAAAGAAATAAAAATTAATTTCTTTAGTTTACAACTGACTGTTTTATATGCCCAGTTAAAATGAAAATTTTCCTTATATAGTCGAACATGTATTTTGCCGTTCTATGGATTCTGTAGTGTAGGACTGATACATTTCCTACTGTGCTCTATATTAGGCATGTGGTGAAATCTGATAGCACAGGGATGCACTCCAGCAACCTTGCTGCACAAGCTTTTATTATGTTCAGTGGTATTTGTGTGTGAACCCTCCAAGTTTACAGTAAGCCTGTGGCAGGAATTCCCATATATTTACAGACTTATCAAACACCATATAGAGGTTACTCTGAAAATAGAGTTTTTAACTTTTTGGATAATCCTGAATTATTTGTTTAAAAAATTGAGTTTTGTCTTAACAATATAGTCATACTGCCTCTAATGCAATGCTAAGACAGCAATTTCTAGTCACCACACAATATTTGGGGACTAGGACCCTTTCCCACATGTTGATCCAAGTATGGAATTCAGAATTCAGTCCTGACATCCTTAACCAGTGGCATAGTGGTTTGAGCATTGGACTACAACTCTGAAGAACAGGTTTGAATCCTGGCTTGGCCATGTAAACCCACTGACTGATCTTGGGCAAATCACACTCTCTCAGCCTCAGAGGGTGGCAATGGCAAAACCTCTCTTAAGAAACTTGCCAAGAAAAGCCCATGATAGATTTGCCTTAAAGTCACCATAAGTGGAAAAGGACTTAAAGGCAAACAACACACACATCCTTAATTAGAGCCAGAGCCAGCACGGTATGCCATGTTACACACTCAGCCTATAAGAAAGCAAAGTCAAATCCCATCTGAGCAAATCTTGTTAATAATAATAATAATAATAATTTTTATTTATAACCCGCCCCTCTGCAGAGCAATCGGGGCGGGGAACAGCAAGGTTAAAACAAAGCATAATTAAAACATTCCCTTCCCCTTCCCGCAACCCCCTCCCCCCCGCCCCATCCCCTTAAAATAAGATTAAACCATGAATTGAATTAAAAATACAACATTAAAACAAATTAAATTGTTCACTTTAGGATCACCATACATTGGAAACAACATGAAGGCACACAACAACTTCCCTAATTATTTTCAAAGCTTGGAAATTATTAGACTACGGCAGCTGGGAAATTCCAGACGTAGTGCAAAAAAGTAGACTTTCAAACTCTGCATATGTGAAACTACATATAGGCAAGCAGTGCTTCTCGGGTTATCTGATATAGAATACCGGCAATTATTGTTTTTCAATGTGCTAGGAAAAGGCATTAAATTTGTGTCAATTGGGTACTGTTGTTTCTTTTTTGTTGTGGAAACTTGCCAGCAAATAGCAATCAATGGCTCAGGGATTGATATAGGTTCAAAGACCACCACTTTGACAAAATACTGTCACTTAACTGTTTGGTGGGCTGGGGATGGAGATTCTGCTAGTGAGGTGGTGTGCAGGAATGACCCTTTCTATGTGCCTTCTTCTCCAAACTAATTCCACTATATACATAGCCTGCCTTAGCCACTGGCAGGAGTGTGGCTTTAATAGGGATGATGGCAAAAGATCACCTGCAAGTTGTCATCAACATAGCCCAACTAACTGTTATCTAGAGGGCTGCATAGAGGGAAGATGTCAAACAAGAAGGGTCATTCCAACACTAACATAATCCAATTTCCCACAGCAGTCTCCAGCAGCTACAGGAAACACTGCGGTTCTACATTATAAGAGAGAAAGCGAGAGAGTGAATCAGAGAGACAATTGATGGGTGTGGAGTGAGGTGGGAGAAAGACTGAAAGAAGATATGGGGGGGTTGATGTTGGAGGCTATGTGTGGGTTGTGGGAGAGAGTGGAGGAGTCAGTCCTTAGATGAGAAAGATAAGACTTCCCAAATGAATAGCTGTAGTTCCTGGTCTGTTTATATGTTCTATACTCTTGAAACACTTTTTAGATTTTATTATTTATTTATTTATTTATTTATTTATTTATTTATATGCTGTTGTGTGCCTTCAAGTCGTTTCTGACTTATGGAGATCTACAATAACATGG